CTGTTGGGCTCCTTACTCTTTCTGCAGCATTTCTACTACTACTCATTGGCATCTTCTTACTGCTGTCTTTCAGCCACACCCCTGATCTTCTTTTTACGGAAGGTAAGATCCCACACCTAGCATTCTCGGATAAGGGCAAAAAATCTAGGATGTCTTGTGTGCAAATTGAGCACGTGAAAGATCCGGCCTTGGTGGTCTTAAAAATGATAAGAGGCTTCGGCCGCCACCCATGCAAAATTCAAAATTCCTACCAAACTAAAAGTGTTTGATGTATCCCATGTGCTCATATGATTTTATGCAGTTGCGAGCCCTGTAAAACCCAAAAAAAAAAAAAAAAAAAAAAAAAAACCAACAACCCCCCCCCTTTACTAAAATAAAACAGATTAAAGTGAGGTAGTATGTTTTGAGAGAAGAACTGTTTGCTTATGTCACAGCTCTATACATGATGAAATGATGCTCCACAACAGCATGAAAAGGCTTGTCCTAATGTTCTCTCTAACCATTAGCATAAAAAGTTAACCAATGTTTACAAAGATACTTGCATGGCAGTCATACGAAAGGGACTATATGATAGTGGACATGATGAAGAGCCAACATTTCTGCCTTGAGAATAATCACTGTTCCTTCCTTTTCATTGTTATCCTTTTTTAAAAATCCCTTGCCTCTTCTTGATGTACAGTGGAACTCGGATTCAACGAGGTCTCCGGGCCTGGCCTAAAATCTCGTTGAATCCGAATGTTCCTAATAGCAAACATGAGGTTTTTTTTGTAGATAATTACAGGCACTGAGCAAGTAATGTGTAAAGAGAAGTAATAAGTAGAGCCTGAAATGCCCCATATTATAATCTGTGTTAAAAAAAAGACTGATTCGTTCAAATGCACGCCTGTGTCATCTCGATTGTTTGCCAAAAAGTTGTGTTGCTGTGTAGAGCCTAGCATACGGCAACTTTGGATTCCATAGACTAGCGCACAATTCATTATGCAGATCTACGTCAAGACTAGCTTATCATTGTAATAATGATCAGTTGCCGAGGGGAAAAAAAGACTGTGACGCGTTTGCATCTGCGACATTCAACGCTCCTTGGAGTAAAACTATATAGTTACTCCAAGCAACGCTCAGACCGCAGGTGCCGCCCCCCCCCTCCCCTCCCCGACACGCACACACAGTCACACGTGTGCAGGCCGCCTATCCGACCCCGACACACGCTAGAGTAGACACGTGCGCGTGCCAACAACGCATGTATGTGTTGGTAGTTGGTATGAATGGATACGATTGTTCAGCCTTTGTTTTGTCTCCTCTTCAGTTCAGGTTTGAGAGCAAGTCCTTTTAACTGGAAATTGACCTACACTAGTAGTGATATGAGTCAACAGCGGGGAATCTCGTAATTTGAGCATTAAGGATGGAAAGTTTTTTTATCTCTTTCTTTGACAGCTGCTGGGCATAATCATCCTCTTTTTTCTGATGTTGTCTTATAGATGGCGGAATTCCATCGACAGTCAAGTACTATGTATTGGTGTTCTGTCCGCGAGAACAGCTTGCCCCTTTCATAGATTCAGAGCAGTCCATGTGACCAACAACGAACTCACGTTGTAGGTGATGGTCTCTCTAAGTCTGTAATATTGCTGGAACATTTCCTCGTGCGTTTCATTCGGAATAGTGTGACAGCTTCGACAATATTTCTCATAGCTTTCAAATTCATACACCTGTCTCGAAGCCCGTGAACGCCAAAATGTATTTCAGTTATAGGGCTAAGGAACTCCTCTCCAAAATGTCCTTTGTGGTTAGCTTCTTTATACTTATTGGACTGTAGACCTTTCTGAGCAGTCACTTCCTTGGCAGCACCTTCTACCATGAAATTTTCAGGTCGAGTACAATATCCAACGACAACAGTTATTCTCTTCTGGCTTTATCTGTTTTCTACTCACGATGCGATGTGTTTTTAAAAAAAGACTACAATGAGCCTGCTTCTTCCACAAAGTGACTGTATGTATAAGTATAATACAGGAGCAATACACACCTTCCTCAAGCAGCAAATATGTCTTTCTTGCATGACATAGAAACCAGGTTTGAAAGACGGGTCTGCATCTAAATCATCAATATAATCAGAACTTTTTGCAATACCATATCTTTGGGGACTCACTGACCTAATAAAAACTTTTACTAGTAGAAAATATTTTAAAAAGTGAATGTTTATAATTATAAGCTTACAAATGAGCTAAAATACCATCACTTTATGGGTGCATGAACATCAAACGCTGAGAAAGCAAGGATGAAATTTACAGCACAGGTACCAGAACAACACGTGTCTACTTGAACTAATGGTAAGGAAGCGTATAAAAGTCCCTCAATGATGCAGCGAGAAAGAATCAGCAAGACTACTAAACATGAAATGAGACACATCCCCCTCATTTACAAGTGAGAAAACAAAACGAAACATCTTCATACCATGGCGTATGCGGTCATATGCCTCGGCATATATTCTCACAAAGGGGCGTAACAAGGCATAATATGCCTCTATGTGAGATGCAGTTTCCTGCCCGGGAATAGGGCTAAATGTTTTTTACTCACAACTCCGCCATTTTTAAAGCTATCGATACGCCGTTTTGAGAGAACATAGATCTCACTACCCCACATACCATGGTGGTGTTAACTCAAAACCGGTAATTTTGACGATACGCCCTTTTGTGAGATGGGCAACGACACACACACACACACACACACACACACAGAGGGAGAGAGAGAGAGAGAGAGAGAGAGAGAGAGAGAGAGAGAGAGAGAGAGAGAGAGAGAGAGAGAGGCAGAAGAGAGAGAAGGTTGGGGGGGGGGGGTGAGAAGGGGAGAAAAAAAGTTGGGGGGGGGGGGGAGAAAGAGTGTGGAAAATGTGGGAGGGCTGAGTGAAATGGTGGGGGGCAGACAGACAGACAGAGGCAGAGAAAATAGAGAGAGGGGGGGGGGGGGGAGAAAGAGAGAAGGAAAGAGAAAGGGGAGAGACAGACAGAAAGAGAGAGAGGGTGTTCGCAATTATGATAATAATTGTTCCCGTCATTATCTCTCTGTGTCGGTTCCCAGTTCCCAGGCTTTTTCGTTTTCCTTCATCTCATGGAATGGAGCATTTGAAGCTGGCCAAAATATTAAATATACGTCACTGTAGTCACTGACTAAAACCGGCAGTGGACGCTCCGTCTAAACGAAGCTTGAATGCCGTGAACATAGCCTCAACAGCGCCTGCCAACTACATTCACGGCGCCGTGAACCTAGCCTGCAGACTACGTTCACGGTGCCACTGCTAACAAAAATAGCATTCCATACTTGCCAGGTCTGTATTCGTGCATTATGTATTTTTTTTAACGAAAAGTACTCGGAAAAGCTATAAAATTAACAAATGCATTGTTTGATTTTTGTCTGCTTAAATTGGATAATTCATGATTTTCAAAACATTTGTATTGAGTAAATAAATAATAGATACCACGAGAGCCTAAACTAGAAGAGTACACATTTGAAAAGGAATGGCAACTGGGCAAATGTTCTACCGGATGTTGATATCAAGGTTAACAACAATGGCTGCGCTCATGAGGAAAGTGGTGATGCCGCCGTGTGTATTACCAAAACACATCGTGCGATGTTTGATGACAACGAAAATTGAACACATGAATATCTGTAAATCGTTGTTCGCGATCCAGGATAACTGTAAATCAAGCAGTACGTATTTGACCTGTGCAATGATTTCACAATGCCTGACTTTTTCTAGAATGTTGTCATACAGTCATCCATGTCAAAATAAGAAAGGCCGGTCAACAGAATCAAAGTCACAGATTGATAAAGCCGGTGTTGTTCCTCGAAAACCGCACTGCAATGTCGGAACTATCGGGCATGTTGACCATGGAAAAACAACATTGACAGCTGCTATCACGAAAGTTCTATCAGAAACTTACAGTGAAGAAAATAAATTTGTTTCTTATGATTCTATAGATAGAGCTCCAGAGGAAAGAAAGCGAGGCATAACAATAAATTCGGCTCATATTGAATATGTTACTCCAAATAGGCATTACGCCCATACCGATTGCCCTGGTCATATTGATTATGTAAAAAATATGATCACTGGTGCATCTCAGATGGATGGTGCAGTTTTAGTAGTGGCTGCCACAGATGGCACAATGCCCCAGACGAGGGAACATTTGTTGTTAGCAAAACAGATTGGTGTTAAATACATTGTTGTCTTTATAAATAAAGCTGATGCTGTTGATAATGAAATGGTTGAGTTGGTGGAGATGGAGGTCCGTGAGGTCATGACAGAATATGGTTTTGATGGTGAAAATTGCCCTGTAGTCTATGGCTCTGCTTTGCAAGCACTTAATGGAGAAAATTCTTCTCTCGGAAAAGATAAGATTCTAGAATTGATGAAAGCTGTTGACAATTATTTTCCAACTCCAGAACGCAAATTAGATGAACCTTTTGTACTGCCGATTGAAAAAGTTGTTTCAGTGCCTGGAAGGGGGACAGTAGCTGTAGGAACTTTAAAAAATGGGATCTTAAGAAAAGGAGATGCTGCGGAAGTAGTGGGGTTTGGTAATTCTGTGAAGACAGTTGTCTCAGACATTCAGGTGTTTGGCAAATCCTTGAAGGAATGTGTGGCAGGGGAGAACATCGGAGCACTTCTTCGTGGCGTGAAAAATGATGTAATTCAAAGAGGAATGATTTTAGGACCTCCCTCATCACTGACCCAGTGTGATGCCTTTAAAGCACAGTTTTATTTGCTGACACAACAAGAGGGAGGGCGTGCTCGGCCAATTACAAACAATTATATCCAGATGATGTACTGCAACACGTGGAACATTTCAGCTTGTGTAAGACTACCAGAGGGCACTAACATGCTGATGCCTGGTGAAGCTACTCATGGTGAGGTTCTATTGAGATTGCCTATGGTGATCTCCCCTGGCCACCGTTTCACAGTGAGGCAAAACAATATTACAACTCTAACTGGATTGGTCACTGAAGTTCTACCACCAACAGAGCTACGCATCAGAGGATTCAACGAAGAAAAGCAAGTTACACATGTGATTCAGGGAAATGCTCAGGTTACTAGGAGTGCCCGAATGAAGAGAAAGAAATCAAACACATCATCCTCGTAGTTTTGGATGGCTGCAGAAGATTAAAAGTACAGAAGAATTGTGATAGAAATTTCTTGGTTATCAACCCATGTTGCCTTATAATGTGTACTTGGTACGTCATGAAAATGCGTCATTTTTGTTGTTGTTGTTGTTGTACCATGGATATCACAGAAGTAGGCAAAATTTGCTGTTCCTGATTGCCTGTAGGATATGACATGTACAAGTAATATTTTTCATAATTGCTAATATCAATAAGTTTTCAACATATATTTCATACATGCAAGATTCATTTAGAAACAAAATACGCCTTTATTGATCTGTGTGATCTCATAGTGCAAATTTGTTCTTTGTAGGCATGATTTTACCCTTTCCCAGT